AACAGATGACACAAATGGGTTATAGAATTGTTATCTATTAAAGAACAGGATTATAATTTATGATAATAGATTAAAATACAATATATTTGTTTTATTAATTTATTTAATATTATCTTATTTTAAAATATCTCATGAAATAAATGATAGCATTGCCTTTTTTAAAATTAAATCATTCCTATTCTGTTTTTTAAAACATATATCTAATTTGAACTGTAATTTGTCAAAAAATACAATATTATAAATTTGGTATATTTTTAATTCGAACTTTCAATAGTGTTTCATTTTATATGTCATCCTACACCTGTTTTAATTGTTGGACACGTACATCCATTACAGGAAACTATGTTGTTTAAAATAAAATTATTGTTGTTTGAGACAAACCATTACATTTGTTTTAATAAATCGTTTTCGAAATGAGTATATTAGCATTTGGGGTTGATAATTTAGGGTTAGCGGATGGCAACAAAGAAGAATCGTTTTCACTTTAGAGCAAATATTTTACTGATCGTCGTTCATCTGAAAATAAAAGTAATAAATCAAAACCATTCTATTGAAATATCTAAAACGCATTGTAAAAAGTATGTGTCTTAAGGTAGATGAGGGGTCTAAATTAAAAACAATAAAATGTTCAATACTTTGCAAAATGTAGTTTATATCATGATATTGTCAGAAATATAATGACAAGAAAGGGTCGCATAGCTTTTTTCGAGCTACAGATTAGACACACCAATTGTGTGTGAGAATAAGAAGAAAAGTACACGATAGATATTAAATAACAAAAAAAAATTATGAGAATATTGCTCTTATAATTTTCTTTCATAAAATAAAAAGACCTCGTTTTCTTATTACATATCACATAATTGGTAAATTAACTCACATTCCTTCACATAATTTGATTATCTAAATCTATCTCCCTTATATGACTGCATTTAAACTTAGACCAAATGTTTTTAGCTGTTTAATAATCGAAGATTTTGGAAGAACATTATCTACAAACAAAGCAGTTTGAGTTCCTAGGATATTGTATATTTTTGCCTTATATAAAACTTTTGGCTTATATTTATTTTTGTTTTCAAGTTGAGATGATACGAGATCTATAACAGTTCACAATGCAGTTGTGACGGACTGGAATGACCTTTCTATGCATCTAAAAAAAGTCAATTAAACTAAAAAAATTAAGCATATGTAAAAACCATCTAAATGATTTACCGAACTAGATATAGAAATAGGAAGATGAGGTATCATTGAAAATGAGTCAACTATCTACAACAAACTGAAATTAAATGGAAGCAAATAGAGGTCATCACACGGCATTCAATAATGAGCAGAATTCATACCTCATAGTAAGATATAAAAAGCCCTGTCATGACATTAACGAAACATATTAAAACATTGTTGTGACGTCATTCTATTGTTGTACCCGTTCTTTATTTCAGTGATGGCACTATCATTTACCCGTAAGAAACCTTATTTTACCTTTAACATTTTTAAGAATAAACCTCTTCCTTCTTCACAAAAATTGGAGGTTGCATAATTGATTCTTACAGGTAAACGATAGTTCAAGGACTGAAGAAAAAAAAAATGCATTTATTCACACAATTTGTTTCTTCATTTTGAAAAAAAAAATTACAACGAAAGAACAAAAAAATATGTGTTTATTAAGGTCATCTTCCAATACAACAATTTCGTCACTCATCAAGACTGTTTGTGGGAAGGGTGAAATCGGGGGGTGGAGGTAATATTTTATACTGATTCTCAATTTTTTGGAACATATATTGCATTGCCAGACAAAAGAGAGAAAACAATTATTCTGTATAGTTCGTTAAAAATTGGTTAAAAAATAATCTGCTTTTCTGCGGTAGAAATGTCAAGAAAAAGAAAAAAACATAGCATCCCCTTATCATGCTTATAATTAATTACTTACCAAGTGACTTGTATTTTTCACACACCGTGACTATTCATCTGTTTTTTTTTATTAATGGAATTTCTGTAATATTTTTTTAAAGTAACTGGAGAGTGATTTCTGGGGTTTATATCTAGATTAATTAGCATGATTGGTTGGTTTTAGTTTACATTATAAATGAACCGTAGGGTGTATTTAAACCTAAACCCATAATAAAGGAATATTCCACTTTAATGTGATCGGTAAAATAATATTTTTGACGATATATTAGTCAGATAATGCATATTTTAAGGTTTCTCCTGTCGTATAACACACCTTGGAGTCTCGGGATTGCCAGAAGAAAAACCTTCCTACGGTCGATTTTTCATTTGTTGAAATCTGACACCCCTCGATGTTGAACTACAAACATAATCTTAAAATAATCATTATCTATGCAACAATGCGCTGTCTTAAGCTAATGAATATGAGCATTTTGTAACAGAGTTTTTGTTTGTGTTCTTCCACTCCTTGAAATAAATACACTAAATGAAGGTAAGTGTCTGTCACTTAACAAGTTAAAAAATAAAAAACAACACGTTAAAAATAGATTTATTTGCTTTATTTTCCATGTATACAGATAAGTACCTACCGGCACAATATGTAATACTAGCTTCCATCTACATGATCTAATAATTCTGAGTTTACACTAAAGTTTGGGTTAATATTCTTTAAACAAACAAAAAAAACGTCATGCAAGGATAAGTCTATCTAATTATTTTTATATATTCATATGGAGTCATATCCTTTCAGAACGATAGATATTTCTTTTGAAAAGTCAACCTGGACGACAATAAGTTTCAATGAAATGTTCTTCAAGGCCTAAATTTACTACCTGCGTATAGTAAGGTCATCATTGTTCTTATTAAAATGCAAACTACAGTTTGTTAAAACATGTAATTCATTTTATAGTTATCGTGTGTTTGAAAATACAGAATAAGATTTAAACCAAGAAGGTCACAATACTTAAAGGAAGTTTTACAAATATTAGATATCGTTCTATGTCTGACATCCTGACCTCACAGATCCGATTGTAACGCAAGAAACAGATGACACAAATGGGTTATAGAATTATCATATATTAAAGAACAGGATTATAATTTATGATAATAGATTTAAAAAAAATGTATTTGTTTTATTCATTTACTTAATATTATCTTATTTTAAAGTATCCTATGAAATAAATGATAGCATTGACTTTTTTGAAATTAAATCATTCCTATTCTGTATTTTAAAACATATATCTTATTTGAACTATAATTTGTCAAAAAATACAATATTTTAAACTTTGTATATTTTTAATTCAAACTATTCATAGTGTTTCATTTTATATGTCATCCTACACCTGTTTTAATTGTTGGACACGTACATCCATTACAGGAAACGTTGTTGTTTGAAATAGAATTATTGTAGTTTGAGTTAAACCATTACTTTTTTTAATAAATCGTTTTTGTTATGAGTATATTAGCATTTGGTGTTGATAACTAAGGGTTAACGAATGGCAACAAAGAAGAATCGTTTTCACCTTAGAGCAAATATTTTACTGATTGACTTTCATCTGAAAATAAAAATATTAAATAAAAATCATTCTATTTAAATTTCTAAAACGCATTGTAAAAAGTATGTGTCTATAGGTAGATGAGGAGTCTAAATTAAAAACAATAAAATGTTTAATACTTTGCTAAATGTAGTTTATATCATGATATTGTTAGAAATATAATAGAAAGAAAGGGTTGCATAGCTCTTTTCGATCTAGAGATTAGACACACCAAATGTTTGTGAGAATAAAAAGAAAAGTAAACGATAGATATCAAAAAAACAAATTATGAGAATATTGCTCTTATAATGTTCTTTCATAAAATAAAAGAACCTCGTTCTCTTTTTGCAGATCACATAAATGGAAAATTAACTTACATTCCTTCTCATAATTTGATTATTTAAGCTATCTCCCCTGATATTATTGCATTGAACCTTAACCAAATGTTTTCAGCTATTTGACAATCTAAGATTTTATAAGAACATTATCTACATACAGGAACTGTGTGTTCCTAAGATATTGTATATTTTTTGCCTGATATTAAACTTTTGGCTTATATTTATTTTTGTTTTTAAGTTGCGATGATAAGATATTTGAAACAGTTCACAATGCAGTTGTGACGGTCTGGAATGAACCTTTCTATGCATTTAAAAATGGTCAATTAAACAAAACTCATTGGGCACATGTTAAAACCCTCTAAATGATTTACCACAGTAGATATAGATATAGGCAGATGAGGTGTAATTGGAAATGAGTCAACTATCTACAACAAACTAAAATTAGATGTAAGCAAATATAGGTCATCACACGGCATTCAATAATGAGCAGAATTCACACCTGATAGTAAAGTCCCTGCCATGATTGTAACGAAACATATTTGAAACATTGTTGTGACAGCATTCTATTGTTGTACCCGTTCTTTATGTCAGTGATTGGACTATCATTTACCTGTAAGAAACCATTATGCTACCTTTAAATATCCAGCATTTTTAGGAATAATCCTCCTCCTTTTTTAAAATATTGGAGGTAGCATAATTGATTCTTACAGGTAAATGATAGTTCAAGGACTGAACAAAAATGCATCAATTCACACAATTACAACGAAAGAACATTTTTTATTAAGGTCATCTTCCAATACAATGATTTCGTCACTCATCAAGACGGTTTCTTGAAGAAAATACTTTTAAATTGATTATTACACTGCCAGTGTCAATACTTATCTCACAACCATTTTTCTTATGTCTTGGGTTGTCTCCTTTAGCTTCAATTCGGTTGACAATGTTCGTTGTAAGTATTGTTTTTGTACTTTTATGTGTTTCTTTTTTATATCCTCGTCCGTCTTTGGATATAAACATCGACATTTGTGTTGCTCTTTTTCTTCCAAACATAATTTTTAACTACAATAAGTTGAAAAAAAAATAATGCTTCTTACGCTTGAAAGATCATGCCGCAAAACGAGGACCACAAGTAAAATAATTTTATCATCATAATTAGGAGAAATCTTTCTTCTGTAGAGATTTTCGTAAATGTTGATGTGAAAGCCACAGATTGTTCCTTGGACAAAATAGCTACTTAAAGATGTGATTAACAACCTAAACCTCAACCTGTGTACAAGGTGTAAATTACAAACTTGCTTCATGAACTAGGTGGCTTCAAAAGGTTTGCAATGTTGTTTTTTTTTTAATCTTATTGTATCGCCTGTATAGGAATATAATGCAACACTTCGCTTATCAATGACGGTGAATATAAGAAACAGAAAAAAGAACATTTTACCGCAGGTTAAAGAAATCAATCGTGTGTCCGATGCGCACTTTGTTCGTAGTGATCGTTGTTTTTAGAAACCGATGTAGTCACTTGACATTAAATAAACGTAGGTGCTAGATGTAATTATGTGTTTGTTAAATAAGTTTTAAGACAGTTTGTAATTGTGTTATATAGATTTGAAAATAAACCCTTCCTTCTTTGAATTGATTTAAAAAAGGGGAGTTATTAATAAAGTTTTTTTTACTATTTATAACGTCAAAATACGAATTACATTTGTTTCTTTCCAATGTATTTATGAACAATTTCAACCACTTTAAATCTCGAAAGTAAAATGGTTCATGAATACATACAATTAATATACATTAATTACAAAAACAAGGATACATTTGTGTATGTACACTTACAATGATCTGTTTTGAAAGAAAAAAATATAGCGTTGTTTGCAAAGAGAAATAGATGCACAAAACTGTATTTCGGAAACATGAAAAAACCGAAAAGGACAGCAATACCTAACTAATCTGAAAAAGGAGCTACACGAACCTTGCAGAAAAACCGGAAAGGGGGGAGGTGGGGGTATTCAGGTTTTCCTTATATTAAGGTAGCACTCCACAGTTAGGTGTGTAGTTTCGCATTTTGGCCCCTTTGGATTTTTCAAATATAAAAGCTAGTGTGCAGTAAAATTAATTTCTACATAGCTGAAGATTGATATACCTTTCATAGTGGGTTTATAGATTCAAGATTGTGTAATGTATGTATATGAACTGTTTTCCGTATGACAGTCCGTATTTTCATATACATAACAGACATTGGTCAAGAAATTATTATAATGTTTTTTTCCAACTTTTTGTCGCACGAACTTTGTGATGTAATTTTACAAAAAAATGAGGCAAAAGATACCCAATTTTTATTTGATCATTTGGTAGATTAATGTCAATAGTTTCAGAAAAGGTATCACTCAAAGGGATTGAAATTCTAGTTTTAACCAAATTTTGGGTGAAAATGTGACATTTGTTGCCCCTTTTTGCAATATTTTATGATAAATAAATGCAGAATGTTGCCATGAATACACAAAAAAAGGAATTTCATTTCACCATTTTAACTTTTGAAAATCAAATCTATGGAAGATACTGATTACATACATATGCACATGTATGACACAAATAATTGGCTTAATGTATTAGAAAGCCAGGAATAGAAGATGATTAAACATTTTGTGGTTAAATTACAATTTTATTTTCTAACTGTGGAGTGCTACCATAGTAGGTGAATACGTCTGATCTCCGGATATTTCATGGGAATGAATTTAGATATTATAACTATATTAATTGATTTTTGCAAGTAAAAGATATACTATTTGGATCATAATTATCTTAAAATGCATTGACTTAACTATAGGGGAAATCCGATGAACAAAAAAATGAATTTAAATTGCTTTCATGATAGTTATCTCTTCATTTGTGCTCATTTATTATATCTTATAGTGTTGTATTTGAAATAAAATCGACTGTGGTGCACTCGATATTGCTGAACCTTTTTTCTGCAACGTGAACCTGTCTTCAAGCTTCATGTGATTTTCATTTTTTTTTCTCATTGGCCTAATGAGAAATAAAACCCCAGAAGGAAATAAGGAAGTAATAGGAGAGGACTACATTTTAAAATATATTTCAAACTTGCCATTACACCACGATTTTTTGTGCAGCTAATAAATAACTGATTTTTTTTTCAATTAAACCAATGTGACGACCAATGTTACTGCACAAATGCGAATAAATAAAGAAAACATGTTCATAAAAAAGTTTTAAAACAACTTTAAAAAGACAAGATATCAACATATTATATAAGAGTTACATCCCTTTCTATGTATTATTAAGGACTATAGTGACGTTGCGTTACCATTCACTTACTTTTGCGTGTTCATCCATGATTATCACAAAGTTGTGAAACCAGTAGGAGAAAAATGAAGTTCGCACATTTCGAACTAATTATAGATATAGGGTGTGTAATTAGTAAACAGTTGATAGCGCTCTTATTGTGCTGCGTATTCTATAATAAGGTCTTTCCACTTTTCCGTGGAAAGACCTATTGATTTTGTTCTGATTATTATTATTATTATTATTATTATTTTTTTTTTTTTCTTCCGCCTAATTTTTTTCTTGCGTAGTATTGTTGTTTTACAAGATGTCGCTTAGATATTTGGTATATGATATCGAACAGTTTATACGCTTTTGAAAATGACAACCGCTTAACTGAATACTTTACGTTGTAAGAGTTATCTCCCCAAACACTGTTTTTCTTGTGGCCACTACTCCTTTGCAACCATAAAAGATTATGACAAATTTATTTTACCAAATTGCTCGCTATATCTTCAGGATGTTGAGTTTGGTTTTCACCGAAGCGTTCCGGAGACTCCATATGACAGTTATTTCCCCTTCTGCATTTGATATAAGTGATATGCATTTCTAACTGGTAAACCATAAGTGATAGAGACCTAGGGTCTTTTGATTTGAGGTCCTTGGTAAAATAAAAAGAAAATTTGGTCAAGGTCAAAGGTCAAGGTCATATTCTAAATTTTGATTTTGGCTTATTTTTACTTTTTTTCAAAAACCGTATAAGATATCGACAACATATTATTACTAAATTGTTAGTATTTACATGTCGTAACACATACATTTTGGTTTAAAGGGTGCGCTAACATTAAATTCGATTTTTTTCCCCTCTTGTATTTAAAAATACGCGTATAGTGATATCACTCATTAACCATATATTATTAAGACCTAGGGTCTTTTGATTTGATGTCCTTAGTTTATGACCTTGACATTGAGCTCAAGGTCATAGGTAAATTTGACGTTCTAGATTTTGACCTTTGCTTTTACATCATATGTATACATGATAAAGCCATGGGACTTTTTGCATTAGGTTGCAAGCCCTTTGACCTTGAAAAATCCGACAGGAAGTGACCTTGTGTAAACCGGAAGTAGCTATTTTTTGTACTTATTTAATATAAAAGTATATAGAACCATATATTTTTGGAATCAGTGTCAAGTAAACATTCAAATTATACTGAAAGTAACATTTTTCAAACCGGAAGTAACAAATTATCTCCCTTATTTAAAAAAAAATATGTATAGAAACCATATATTTTTGGAATCAGCGTACAATAAGCTATCATTTGACGCTAGAAATGACATTTTAAACCGAATTTTAATATTTTCATATCAAAAAAGATCTTTCTGGGTGGAAAGACCTTCAATTGTTCTCTGAACAATTGGTTTTTAATATTGTTATTACAATTCTTCTCGAAAAAAATTGACCAAACTCTTGTGTCCGCTACTGTACTAAAACTACATGTCCAATCGACCCCAAACTTTGCAGCCACTAGGGTATACATGTAGTTCGTCGTATTTTGACAACGTTGTGCAACTACCTCCCAAGAATTTTCGTAGAGAAAAGAAATTTCAATGCCGTAAAAATCGCTTGCTAGCTCCGTAAATCTCAGTGAAATCCTACACTAAAATGTCTGCTCATAGATAAAAAATACAAATCTATGTTACAAACTGCTACTGAAAAATGTACATTGTATGAAAATAATCGATAAACGTGTTTTAAAGTTACACCGGATCAATTAAATCCAAAGCATGCACTGCTCGTGAAATGTGATCAAAACGTCAATTACCTACAATGACAAAAGAAATACATTGTGTGTATTCCGTCGCTATACATGTTGTCTGTCCAACGTCTCCACCTAAAAAGAAATAAAAAAGTTTTCGGTACTATAAAGTGTCGTCACGTGACGCCACAATCTGGCTCGAGACAAAGTCGCGCGCGGGACCTAGAATAGAATAAAAACTTTCCAAACTAAATATAGAAACTTAACCAACACAATAATATGGACTTTTTATTTAGGGGGCGGGGGGGGGGGGGCTATTAAACCTGTTTCTTTCTATTACTTGTGGTTTTTTTTTCTTCCTCTCTCCTTGTAATGTGAACAATTGACTGGAAGACGTTAAAACATGCATTGAACAAAACAAACAAACAAACAAACAAACAAACAAACAAACAAACAAACAAACAAAACAAACAAACAAACAAACAAACAAATCAAACCAACCAATCATGTTTTCAGAGGGGAAAGACCGTTTACAATTGCTTTTTTAAAGTAATTGATTTATATTTATAATCTATATTATTTTCCAGAAATTTGTAAGATATGAAGTATTTACTACCATTGTGGATTCTGATTAACTGTCGTTTATGTCAAGGTAATTAAATGGTTATTGTATATATAATTTTTTCACGTAGTCACAAATCTGCATAATGCAAGTTTACAAAAAACGCTAAATGTTGAGAATATGGTAAAATATTTGGATTTCTAATACCTTAATTAAATCAAACACATACATTTTTAACGAGGTGGCTTACTTCTGTTTATTGGCACTTTACAAAAAAAGAGGTCTATGTTTGTCCGTTCGTTGGTCATCCCAAGACATTTAGTCGCATTTTATAGAACTTACAGATATCAAATGTAATAAGCTTCATTTGTGAATGCAGTACCGTGTGATGGGTATTCACAATCTTTGTTCATCAGATTCCTGCTTCCTAAATACTTATCTATTTCTTCGCATAATGGCTATGTTTGATATTTGTGTCGCAATTATTTTAGGGTCCGCAAAGAAGAGCTTCCAGAATTTTGTTCCGATTCCCATGATATTGCTATACAGGATAACGCGTTTTCATATTTATCGATTCAAAACGTTTTGTTAAAAGAATTTTTACATATTCTCTCATATACAGCAACACATTAACAGGATAAAAGGAATCACTAAATATATCGGATATTACAGGATAGTACATAAACCACCATCAATAACAATTGTTACAAACAACACTTTACCTAGTCAAAATACCATGCTGTAGAATTTTCGTCGCATTTTTTCTAATGAATTTTACTTTGAATTTGATATCAAGCTTTATATGACTGATTTTGGTAGTTTGTTCTTATGTTGTACTGTTACACCACTGTCACAGGTTAGGGGAAGATTGGGTCTTCAAACTAGTGTATCCTCGCCACATTCTGTATATGCCTGTTCTTAGCCGGGAGCCTGTAATTCAGTGGTTGTCGTTTGTTGCTGTATATCATATTTGTTTTTCGTTCATTATTTTTGTACATAAATCTGGCCGTTAGTTGTCTCGTTGGAATTGTTTTACATTTGACATTTCGGGGCCTTTTATAGCTGACTATCCGGTATTGGTTTTGCGCCTTGTTGAAGGCCGAACGGTTAACTATAGTTGTTAACTTTGATGTCATTTGGTCTCTTGTGGAGAGTTGTCTCATTGGCAATCATACCACATCTCCTAATATTTATATTATATTAGTATGTCTTCAATCATGTCAATGAAATAGGTTTTGAGATCAGTTATTCATCAGCCGCCTGTTAACCGAATATTTGTATATTCTTATGATGTCTATAAATGAAATTTGTGTCATATTTTCTCATCAACAACGAATCAAAGCATCATTTAAATTTGGTTTCAAGCGGCTTGTGATATGGTTTCCAATCCATTACTCATCACCTTTCTGTTATACGTGAATACTGGTAACCTTTGTAAGATAAGCAATATAAATACCGCACGGAACATATGCATTTGTTCTTGTCTATGTGTCTTAATGATGGTCACTACCCACTACCATCCTAAATTTTTGCAGTACTAATTGATATGTTCAAGTTAAAAAAAAAATAGTAGCAAAGTTCATCAATATAATACAAACTAGTCTCATTAAACTGGATACATTGAAATACATTTCATTTCATATTAAAAAGTCATATTCTGATTAAAAAAAATCAAATTCAAAAACGTCATAAAATGGTACCAGCTTATTACTTAGAGACCTAAAATCAGTAAAAGTAGTAAAACGAATGTTAAAAGTATTATTGTATTAGTCATTTCTGGATAATTGTTTAGGCCTTCCCTGTGAAGAAATATGTATGATAGAGAACTATCCATTTTCTTTAACCGGATAGCAACCCATGAGTCGAAAGACAGTTAATTATTAGAGCATCCTCTAATTGAATAAAAAAAGAGACAAAAGGCACCAAGGTGGCTTTCAAAACTCATAAAGTCGCAAGAAACCGACAACCCCATGAACAGACGAAGAAGTTCACAAAAACATTACCTAAAGACCCCAACCAATAACTGGGGGTGATCTCATGTGAACCGGAATGGTTAGAAGATCCTGCTCCACTTATGGCACCCGTCTTGATATACATATATACACTTGACAAAACATAAAGTAAAGGAACAGGGCATTTATGAATGGTTTTCATCTCAAAGGCATAGTGTTACTTCGATATAGATATATCATCGTGTGAATCTATAATGATGTATTTCCCACTTTCCTCACTGTTTGGAAATTGAATATGAAGTTTAAAAGTGCAATATCATGAACATTTGATTGAGACAAAAAGTTATATAGGAATCGAATTAAGTACCCGAAGAGTAACTCTTAATTCGATTGTTTTTTTTAATAGACATGCGACTTAGATGGAGATAGATCATTGATTTTTAACTGTTTAATATCCTTAATTCTGGAGTGCTGGATTTGCTAAGAATTGCTCATCGATTGAAACGCCATGTAAACAATTTAAGCATAGTACTACTAAGATAATTTTGATAACAATTATCTACAGAAAAAATACCTTGAAAATAGTAGAGATGCAACACTATAAAAATATTTTTTCTCTAAACTAACAAGATGAATAAATAAAGGCAACAGAAGTATACCGCTGTTCGAAAACTCATAAATCGATAGAGATAAAAACAAGTCCGGGTTACAAACTAAAACTGAGGGAAACGCATCAAATATAAGATGAGAACAACGACACAACAAAAACACAACATTAAAATGTAACACACAGAGAAAAGAACTATAATATAACAATGACCATTTTCCTGACTTGGTACAGGACATTTTAAGAAAAAAATGGTGAGTTGAACCTGGTTTTGTGGCATGTCAAAACTCCCGCTTTTATGGCAACGTCAAACACAACACCAAAACGACAACATCACATGACAGGACCACAATACAAATAAATGGAAGAACATATAGGACAAAGAAACACACGAATAATAGCTAACAAAAGGTACTAGGCTTAAAATTTAATACGCCAGACGCGCGTCTCGTCCACACAAGACCAACCAGTGACGCTCAGATGAAAAAAGTTTGAAAGCCAAAACAAGTACAAAGCTGGCGAGCACCGAGGACCAAAACTTCCAAAAAGTTGCGCCCAACACGGCCAGAGTTTTCTTCCACGGACAAGAACATCCTTATCATTTAAAATAATTTATAATTTTGCAAACAGTAAATTTTATAAAATGACTAAATAATAGATATACATGATAAAACTAAAGTGGGGATTAACTACAGAATAAAAACGGATACATTACATAAAACAACTTAATCCAACACATAAAAAAATACACAGCCAATTTAGCCAAAGCATCAACGCACAAAGTGACGTCACATTTGAAATTCTAAAAAAAACACACAAAGTGACGTCACAATTGAATTTGTAAAAATATTTCCCAAAAATAAGATAGGATTAGGATTGATAAAAGATTAGATTTGTAATACTGACATTACATTTATTAATAACAATGAAAATTACAATACTTATTAATATCAAATGGTAGTGATTAGATAATTAATTGTATTATCTAGCTATGTCGGTGTTTCTTCTGAATCAAACTGTAAACCAAATATATCGTATAAATTTCATTAAACCAAACTAAAATCCAATAAATGAAGGGGGTGATTAATTATCTTTACCATAACACACGAATATAACAGACAAGACGTTAAGACATTTGACAAAATCCGACGAGAACAACAAATATAACATCAAAATAAAATACATGAATTTGGGATAGAAAGGTACCGTGACACGTCTTATAGCAATGCGGTTTCACACTCAGCAAAACAGTCACAATCGGGAATAAGTCACGTTCGGTAATTAAAAGATCAGACGACGTAATGACAAACCATAATCTAACACGTGGTAAAAATGTCCTTAGTTAGTTTGGACAAAGACACATCGAATGGATCAACCAATTGGTGATGGTGTCCGTAAAATTTACGGAGTGTCATTTTTAATCTGTCTTCCTCATAACTTTGTTGGAGCAGTTTCTGCGTAAGGAGCACACTCCTGTATATGAAGTCCGTATAGTGTGAACAAGCACGAGAATAACGTATCAATTGAGATATGTAAACACCATACGAAGGGGCAGAGGGTATGTTACTGCTGAGAAATGGGAAATTGATAACTGGGAAGTTGAAATCGTCCCGTTTATCATAAACTATTACAATCCAATGGGAGTGTGGAGATTGAACAGTGTAGTTCTGACAAAAACTCGTAGAGTGTAAAAATCTCGTATTATAGTTGTAAAGGGAGAAAGACCAATGCACTTGCATATTAAATATATAGCTATCTTCATTTTTTTTCAGAAGTAGACATATAACACTATAAGATCCACACGATGATATTATGTCAACAATTTAAGTTTTGTCAATTTGTTGCGAGGAGTAAGTCTGTCTGACATTATGTCCTATAGCTTTAACTTCGATATTGTTATTGTTTTTATATCTTTACTATGTTACGCAAAATAAACCCCTTTGTAAAGAAGAAATAAACTTAACAAGTTTTAGGTGTTTTGGAATGGACAGTTATTGGAAAGGTTACGGAGTATGGACACAACGTGACATTATTTTGCAATGTGTCAAACTGCTGTCCACAAGATTCAGGATGGGATCAGTACACTCCACAACAACGCACACTGTTTATAGATGTCAAAACAGGACGATCTAATAAAAAATATGACGGAAAGGTTTCAGGAGATGGATACACTTTAATTATACAAAATTTGACTAAATCAGATCTTAATGTTTCGTATGCCTGTGTGTATGGTGTAACAATTGGTGAAATTAAATTTCTACTGGAAGAGGATGTTTTCACGTGTAAGTACAAGCACTTAATACATAGGAGTCTGATAGATATGATATGGTTAACATAGGGTGTTGATGAATATCATTGAGATAGTTCACTACAAAAAAAAATAAACATCTATTTCAGTACCTTTAAAGATATGTTAAACAGAGGTAGTGTGTGGTAAGCTTCAATGACACAAAAAAACAGTAAACATAAAGAGATGTATACAATTAAATGTGGGTCATAGATCAATGATAAATTATCAAACAAACAACATACAAAACCGAAGGCCATCTTCAAACAACCATGCAGTCCTCAAAAATAGACTACCGTCTATTCAACATGTAAAAATAGATTGCCCGGAAACTCTACAAAAACATGAATAAATTGTATAGGAATTATCAAATATCTTCAATCAAGATCTACTCCTTTAATAATAACAATGATTCAAAGTTCGTACTTTCTATTTGTACTAATGTAAATATCGTAGATTAAAATGTCTAAAAAAAATTGAAAGTTGCTAAAAACCTGTCATTGTGTTATGCTTGCATCTGTTTAATAGGAATAAAAAGAAATGTAACGTATACAATAATGAGACTATGGGACATTTCCCCAACATATAAAAAAAAACAAAATACAGTAATTTTCAACTACCACTAATTCAGTTTAGTTTTTGTCGAGCCTGTGACTTTTGTCGCAGAAAGCTCGACATAGGGATAGTGATCCGGCGGCGGCGGCGGCGGCTACGGCGGCGGCGGCAGCGTTAGCTCACTTCTTAAAAACTTTGTATTTTAGAAGGTGGAAGACCTGGATGCTTCATACTTTGTGTATAGATGCCTTATGTTACGAATTTTCCGACTGTCACATGTCCATTGTCCATGACCTCATTTTCATGGTTCAGTGACTACTTGAAAAAAAAATTTTGTAATGTTAATTTCTCTCTTATAATGAGTAATAGGATAACTATGTTTGGTATGTGCGTACCTTGCAAAGTCCTCATGCCCGTCAGATAGTTTTCACTTGACCTCGACCTCATTTCATGGATCAGTGAACAAGGTTAAGTTTTGGTGGTCAAAACCATATCTCAGATACTAGAAGCAATAGGTCTAGCATATTCGGTGTATGGAAGGACTGTAAGGTGTACATGTCCAACTAGCAGGTGTCATCTGACCATGACCTCATTTTCATGGTTCAGTGGTAATAGTTAAGTTTTTGTGTTTTGGTCTGTTTTTCTTATACTGTATGCAATAGGTCTACTATATTTGGTGTATGGAATGATTGTGAGGTGTACATGTCTAGCTGGCAGGTGTCATCTGACCTTGACCTCATTTTCATGGTTCAGTGGTCAATGTTAAATTTTTGAGTTTTGGTCTTTTTTTGTAATACTAAATGCAATAGGTCAACTATATTTGGTGTATGGAAATATTTTATGATGTACATGCCAGTCTGGCCGCTTTTATTTGACCTTGACCTCATTTTCACGGTTCATAGCTCAGTGTTAAGTTTTTGTGTTTTGGTCTGTTTTTCTATTACTATAAGCAATAGGTCAACTATATTTGTTGTATGGAAGGATTGCAAGCTGTACATGTCTGCCTGACATGGTTCATCTGACCTTGACCTCATTTTCATGGTTCATTAGTCAATGTTTAGTTTTCTTGATTAAGTCTGTATCTTAGAAACTATAAGCAATAGGTCAACTATATTTAGTGAATTGAATGATTGTAAGGTGTACATGTATTTCTTGTTTGGTTTATATGACCTTGACCTCATTTTCTTGGATCATGTTAAGTTTATGTGATAGTTGTAGTAAAGCTTGATATTTAGAACTATCAACATAATATCAATGATTAGTAAAGAAGGCGAGACATTTCAGCGTGTGCACTCTTGTTATTAGTAGTGCTAGACTTTGTGTTTAATGACTTATTTTTAATTGTTATGTTTTATGCAAATAGCAGTATTTACTCTTTAAGGGGTGTTCAAAAGACTTTGTTTTTCCAGCGGTGACTTCTCTACTCTACCACTTCAACACAGCTTTTGCAAACAAAAATCTAAAATGATATAAAAAATCTGTTGTAGGCATTACTAATAACTGATACAACACATACATTATTTGGACTTATAAAAATATCATTATGACTATTATTTGTTTGCCTGAACATATTTGTTCTTAAATAAGGTGTGGTCTGCTTGTCAATAAAACAACTGTCCACCATAGTCCAAATTATGAAGGCAACTCTAAGTAACCCTACTGCCTTCAGCATTGAACAATACCCATACCGTATGGTCAGCTATTAAAGGCCAAGAATAGTCAAAATTTCAAAATGCAAAACAATTCAAACGAAAAAGCAACGGCCTGATTTTTGCCAAAGACTATAAAAGAAAAATAAATACCAGAAACAGCAATCAACGAAACACCATAGAGGAACACGCTCTTGAATTGGGACAGGCATATATAGAATGTGGCGGATTTAAACATGTTTGTGAGCGTTTAACCCTCTTCTAACCTTGGACAGAGGTGTAACAGCACAACATAAGAACAAATTGTACAAATCAGTTGGAAATGATTTGACCCTACAGATCACCACGAGGCATAAAACAAAACAGCTCAGAAAAAGACATTTAATACAAAGTGCCGATCTAAGATTACTCTCACTTATTAAAAGCTTATTCAAAACCAAAAACAACTAATAAATAAATCGTTTTCCTACAAACCGGATACGCCTGGCTCGTCAGGGGACCGTTTTCTTTTCAGGGAAAGGGGGAGGGGGGAAAATAGGGACTTTTCTTATTGTTTATGTTCAAGAGGACTGAAAACATTTAATTCAAAAATGTGGTTTGTGATGGCTCTGTTCTAGCAGCCAAATATATTATTACTTGACTGTTCATTTGATTGCAGACATAAGTACAACACATTCAAATGTGTCAACTGGTAAAAGTCAATTTTCTGAAGGTGAAATGTAAGTAAGGAGTCTTTCATTATTTTTGTCTCAAGTTATTGTCTTATTATCAAAATAGTGTATTTTGTTTTAGTCTAGAAATTTCTTTTTTAACAGTTTATTTACTATGAATATTCCATCTACTGTATATATTTAGTTTATCTATTTTATTTTATCTGTCCTGCTCCTATATCTGTAAGATTACGCCTCCGAGAAAAACAACTGTTTATCCGTGAAGTTTCTGTTCCCGTTAAGCATACTTTGAAACCTTGAAATAAAAATGTTTTCTCACAATGTGAAGTTCGGCGAGCATCAGTTGGCAGTTCAAGCTTTTTTCTTGTTTTAATTTAGCACTATTTGCAATATACATCATGTTTTGGACAAGAGATACACACACACACACACACACACACACACAAATGCATAATCATACTTGTTTAAATTTGCTTAGACAGCATATGCTAATGAATAATGAACAACACAGTTTGCTTCTTTGCTTTTCATATTAATTAAAGGCTATTCATAAAAAGATTTATTTCAGTTTTTGAGTAAGACTCTGGGTCTATGTCAGTTCAGATTTTAAATGGTCAGAATCAAAGGCATATAATATGAATAACTTTCAGACAGTTTGGAACGCCATTTTATTCACCTTTCATCAATATTTCACATGTAAAAAGTAAAATAACAAAAATACCGAACTCCAAGAAAATCTCAAAACGAAACGTCCTTTATCAAATGGCAAAATCAAAAGCGCAAACACATCAAACTAATGAAAAACAACTGTTATATTACTGACTAGGTACAGGCATTTCCTTTTGTAGAAAATGGTAGATTAAACCTGGTTTTATAGCTATCTAAACCTCACACTATATAACAGTCGCGTTCTATTCGTTTCGGCCTATCAACATATAGAAATGTGTAATCAGATTTGATGAATTACGATGGCTTAGATTTTGGTAATGATTTCATATAATTGATGCAATGAAAAATTTAAGGACACCCCTTATGCTCTGTGCTCCTAAAGTGACAATTGAAATAAAGTCAGATTGAAAATTGAATGACAGATACATAAAAAAGGAGATTATGATATTTATGACATAAACGATATCTTATTTTAGTCCACAATATATATATAAATCCTACTTGTATAATGGTTGGATAAAAAAAATTCAGACATTCTTAATTCCAACTTGTTAATTTTCTCTTGGTCTTGAGATGACTATTAATCGGAGCAATGTGATATATAACACATGTGGAGCAGGGTCAGATTATCCTTTTTGACACATGACATCTCCTCCAGTTTTTGATAGGGTTCATGTTGCTTAGGTTTTAGTTCTCTATGTTGTGTTTTGTACAGTGTTGGTATTTTTTTTGTCCTCTTTTCATTTTTTAACATGGCGTTGTCAGTTTATCTTTTATTTATTAGTTTGAACTTCCCTTTGATATCTTCCGCTTCCCTTTTAAAGGAATTTAACACAGATACTAGGTACGGTATATAGGCTCTTTAATGATAATTTAATTACAACTTCTTCAAATGATTTCAGAGCTGCTTTAATAGTCGGAGTTTCGGCGTTAGTGGCCGTTCCAATTTTCATTTATGTTTGGAAACGAAGAAAAAAGAGAAAAACCAAAAACAATGGAGAAAACCAAGGTACATTTATATGACAATAACATTGAGTCTAAATGGTATCGGGAAGTGTAATCATATGGTAATAAAGTACACAAGTAAAGAAGCATCATATCTGCCATGTCCAAAAATTTATCTGTGAGACTTATTTTGTAATTTATGACGTTCTATAAATAGTTTGTCTTATATATTTACACCACAATCCTTTAAAACGTGTATTCAAACAAAATTAAATTACAATTTCCGAAACAATTTAAATATTAAGAAAAGAACAAGCAGGGGTATTCAAACGATATTCAAAGAAAAACGTTTAAACTAAATGATTTTAACAAAATATACATGTAGTTAAAAAACAATTATAACTGAGTTCCATTAAAACTACACAAACAGATATCATATTTAGATGTTAACAAAGTAAAAATGAAAATTATGCATAAAAACTAGTGAAATCAATGTTTTGTCTCTTCTTCATATTTTATTTCAAACATATGTTTGGCCACAACCTCCAATGCGAGCCTGTAATGTATTCCAAAATGGTGTGTGTTATAGTTATATATGGATTTGTAAACTCTCGTTTAAGTTTCGATGACATTTTGGTTTGTTCATAAGCCGTAGTATGAACAAAGTTTCGGAAATGTTCACTTGCAATGCTCTCAAACTTCGTGTTTCATTTGGTCTTCCAAATTATTTTTTTTTATTAGAGCGTCACTGATAAGCCTGATGTACACGAAACGATCGTCGGGCTTTACAAATTATAAGCCATGTATTTTTTAATAAGTTCATATATATCTACAGTATATACAGTTATCGTCAACCAAAGGTACTGATTCTGAGATGTTATAATGATATGAGTGTTTGATATTTTACTCTCTGTGGATCACATGGTCAGGACAATTAAAGAATTTGTACTTAATTCTTAAGAACTTCCGTGTAGTATTTACGTTAAATCACCCCAACAGTGTCGAATATGTTTTCGGCCTGTACAAACACAAACTGATACGTGAAGCGTGTTTCTATTTCTAGTACTAGTAACCCTTTCGTTCAATTCTAAATTTTTTTCAAAATGTTATATTTGAATATCCACAATAGTCATACATTTATTCGAATAATAATCAAGACATGTTTTATCAGATTTTTCTTTTTTACATCAATTTTACAATAGAATTAATGAGGTCGTTAAAGACCTGACGACATTCGTTTTAATTTAATTTGATTGTAGCATATGATCACTGAGATTTTAGAACCCGGGATCGTTTTCGTTGTCATTGATTTTCATTTTTAGCCTAAGTCATGCATGGCAGGAAACTCTTACTCTGTCAACGCACCCTGTTTCGCTTCTTTTGAAGTTCATGAATGTTTGTGTTTTATCTTGAATTGTTTTTAGGTGGTTCTCTCCGAACATCAACCAATTAAAACTGACCGCCACGAAAAGCACGATAGTGTTGAAAGTGGCGTTAACACCAATCAATCAATCAATATATCTTGAGATGTATCTTCTGAATGGATTAATGAGATTTTAACATTGGTTAACTACATGTACTCTAGCCTCTTACTTTTATTATTGTTAAAAATAACGAGGGGACAGGTTTTGCGAAAAATAAAATTCACATTTCTTGTTCCTTTTTTAGTCCCCTTCGACTTCTAGTCCCCTACCGACGAAGTCGAAGTGGACTTAAGGTTTGCACTCTGTCCGTCTGTCTGTCCGTCCGTCCGTCCATCCGTAAGTGCGGCAAATCAGTTTTCCACACTTTTTTCTTCGTTCTTAAAGATATTGATTTGATATTTGGTATATAGTTTCACAATGACAAGTTATAGACCAAGTTCGAATTTTGTTCCGGTCTGATGATTTAATCCAGAGTTATGGACCATAACTCTGGACCATATCTAATGTTAGAGTACTATGTTAAACCATATTTCTGTACAAAGGGAGATAACTCATTTTTTAAAAGACATTCTTTGGTAAATTATTTGAAGAATTTTTTGTATAAACTAATTTTCCGAATGCTATATATATATAAAAAAATTATGAAGTGAAATCCTTTAATTAGATAATAATCTATTTTTATTAATGTTTATAATTTATTACATTGTGTAGATAAAAATTGTTGAAATTTTATAGATAAGTTACAAATCTATATTAGTTTGTGACAAATAAAAGAAAAAATATTTGGAACTATTAATTATATTTGATTATAATTTGAAAATAGATATACACTGTATTACATCATATCTAATTTTAGAGAACTATTAATCATATCTAATGTTAAAGTGTTTTCCACACTTTTTTCATCATGCTCGAAGATATTGATTGATAATTGGTATATAGTTTTATCATGACAAGTTGTACAGATCAAGTTCGAAATTTTGTTTCGGTCTGATAATTTTGTGCAGAGTTATGTCCTTGGACTTGAAAAATTCACTCATTTAATCAGTTTTTCACACTGTTTTTAGTCATGCTTGAAGATATTGACTTGTTACATTATAATTTGTATGCAGTATCTTACAGAAATAATTAAAAACAAATGGCTAAAACTATGATTTTACAATAAATATCATTGATTTAACAATAAAATATGTTCACGTTTTTCAGTTTCAGAAGAATTGGAAAAATTAATCCGTAAGTAATTTTTGCATAAAGATTTGTTATGTTATTTTTTATATTTAATTTAATATTTGTTTATAATCTCATCCTGTTTCATAATATCTAAAGAAAAGGATATTTTTTTTCTGAATCTGCAATTTCTTGAGTTAATGGGAAACCCATTGACAAAAAGAATGTCTAAATTACAGTTTACATCATGTTCCTTCACCTGCATGGCCGTTATGACTAATAGTTGAACATATGGATATATTACTGAAAGTTGACTTATGACTTGAAAAAAGTAATAGAAAGACAAAACTTGCAATGGTTAACGTACTTAAATAATTCCTTATGTTGAGAGGAACTTTATACAATAAGATGACTACCAAGACCAGATCTTAAAATCTCATCATCGATGCCAGACGTATAAACATACACTAGACACGCGTTTTGTCTATAAAAGACTCACCAGTTCCGCTCGAAACATAACAATTGGAAAGCGAGATCAAATATGATAACACTTATAAACCGATAATTGATAGATTCCGTCGTCGTTGTCGTATCGTTGTTTCATCAACATTTAGGTTCAGTCTGTGGTCTAGATATAAATCATCAAAAACTCGTTATATTTCGTGAAATTGAACGACATTATGTAAGACCAAGCCTTTTTCAACTATCTTGTAAACTTTGATTTTTATACAGAAACTGTAAACAACAATACACAGTCTACATAAATACTAACATGATGACAACTCAATAAACTTAAGATGTCTGCTGATTTCTCTGTGTATGTCTCTTAAATTTCCCCTAATGGAATCATCTTCTATTCTTATATCAACATTGTTTATAGTGACCATTGCCTTTGTGTTTTAAATTTTGCCAACAATAGGGAGCTTAGGGCCATTCATTTCGCGTTCGGTAGGTAGTCGCTGAATAAAAGATAGATATGAAACAAATAGTCTATGATTTTGCTTCGTACAAATGAACCTATTAGGGAGTCAATAGGAAGATTTACCGCCCGTAATGTACGTATAATATATATTTTTTTTCTATAATTACTATGCCCTGATGTATCGGATGTCTTAGAACCCTGTCCTTTATGATAAATGTGTATATTTAAACATGTATTTCATTATTTAAAAATATCATTTCCCAAACTGCTAAGTTAAACCCATTTCTAAAATGATAAAATACTCAAATCACTGATCAAGATTATGGCAACTGGTCGGTAAGAATAAACCTATATACATGTATACATTATAATACATTTAATTACAGGATTTCATAACAAGCTGTTTCGGAAATGAATATAACTTTTTAATTCTTTGTTAAAATTCAGTTCAACAAATCTTTTGAAATGTTTATTACAGCGGAACTATCGGCACCAGTCGGGCCTATGGAAATAAGTAATATAACTGAGAGTTCTGTAGACATTGCATGGAAAGCACCTGAACTTGATGGTGGTGCTTCAATAACAAAATACTTAATTGAATATCGACTAGCTAATGTGTCAACATGGGAAAAGGCTGGAAATGTAGATGGCACCACATACAATTTCAGTGTCAAAGATCTAACGGAAGGTGAAGATTTCTACTTCAAAGTCACAGCTATCAACAGTAAAGGACCCGGATCTCCATTGGAATCAGAAGATCTGGTAAAACTAAATGGTATGTGTCATTGCATTAATGCGACGTCATAATACGGAAAAATATACAATGTAAAATCAGTTTTGTAGATCACTTACTCCATGAAATCAAGGTTAGCTCTTTGCATAAACTGGTGTTTGTTGTTTTTCAAACCTTTTTGCATTGATCGAAATATGCTCGTGAACAATTCTACCCTCTTGAAGCATATGATATCATTCTCAGTTGTTGGCGTGGTTTGTGTTGCTTAGTATTAAGTTTCTATGTTCTTCTTTGTAAACTTGTTGTTAATTTTGTGGTCTTTTGGCGTCAGTTAATCTTGACTTATGCGTTTGAATATCTCATTTGGTATCTTTCTCTTCTCTTTTATGCAGAATGAGTCGTCAAGATGTTTGACTAAACATCTATCTTATATTCTTACCAACATTCGTTTTACAGTGCTAGATATATATATTTATCCTGCAATTGGGTGTCTTACTATACAGATACAGCCCTACAGATATCGCTAGGCTGTATCTGTATACTATACATATATTGCTTTAAGCTCCGCCCACTACCGGACTACTTTTGTGTAATGCTGGTGTATGAACTTTCGTGACCTCAGAGAATGTGTATTGCAGTCGCATTCCAATGACGTATTGTTTGACCTTGTGTGAACTATGTATTTACGTTCTGTTTGTGTTTTCAATCATTTCTTTAAAGCAATATGAAATAAAAATGAAAATATTTGTGTCTACCATTCTTTTAATTATTATATTTAAAATCTCAAAAATGCATTATTGTCGTCTGCTTCAATTTTGCTTTCGAAAATGGACGAGGTTCCAAATTTTCGCCTTGAGGGTCCGTGGTCTGATTTGGAGGATATGCTTGAAATTGAGGGTGAAATTTATGATGATGAGTTATCTGAGGCTTTGCTCCACATAATACAACCTGTTGATGACACAGAATTGTCAGAGCACACAATTTCTGCACTAATCACAGAAAATATTGCTGTTACATTGGCACCAAACAATGAAATACAAAATTTACAAAACACAGAAACTCAGAATGAGACAACCAGTGACCAAACATCAAATGTCCAAGCTAGTAACCCACACTTCAATCAGTCTTTTCTTGAAATGGATGAAAGTGATGTCCGGAATTTCATAGATGGTCAACAAAATAAAAACACATTGAAAAAAACTGCCTGTGACATGGGTCTGGTTTCAGGATTCCTACAATTAATCAATGAAAACAGACAACTTCACCAAATTCCAACCTCAGATTTAGATGTTGTCCTGGCAAATTTCTTATCAACGGTCAGAAAAAAGGATGGTAATGAATACGAGTCATCTTCACTGAGAGGTATGGTTGGAAGCATTGACAGAACTCTTAAATATCATAAATATGGACACACAATAATAACAGAGGACAATAACGATACAACTTTCAACTTAACTAGGAATGCATTAAAAGCCAAACAAAAAGCGTTAAAAAAGGAAGGAAAAGGAAATAAACCACAGCGTGCAGATCCATTAACTGATGATGAAATAAATCTCTTATTCGAGAAAAATCTTCTTGGCAGCTCCAACCCACACGCATTGTTGAATATCATATGGCTTAACAACTCAATTCATTTTGGATTACGAGGAGTCACAGAGCATTATACACTCAGGTGAGCCTTAAAAAAACAAGCATTCTGTGAGTATTGCATGGCAATAAACAGTCCCCTACCGGTTAAAAATTCATTGTAATGGAACGAAATTATAACTTGATCTATAACTTGTCATGATGTTAACTACATAAAATAACAAACAAACATACCAGTAAATTCTACAAACAATTTACTAAAGAAAAGTAAAAAATCCAAAATTTCATTTATCTTAATACAATGTCTTTTACAAATCTTTAAAAAAAAAAGAGTCATTTCCCTTTGAACAGAAATCTAGTCATGCTAGTAATAAATACATTTTTTGTAGGTATTTCATCAAAAATTTAATTCTAGGGAAAGGACTTTAACTGAACATGGAGAAAAGCTAAAATCATGAAATTCAAACTTGACCTGTAACTTGTCATGATAAAACAATACACCAAATATCAAATCAATATCTTCAGGCGTGAAGAAAAAAAGTCTGGAAAACTGATTTGCCGGACTGATGGATGGACAGACGGACAGAGTGCAAACCTAAAGTTCCCTTCGACTTCGTCATTATGGGACTAACAAGCCAAAATATATATAAGTGATAACAATGTATTGTTATCCATCTCTTTATATTTAATGTAAACATCAATATCAAAAGTGTTGCCAACAAACTCTGCATACTTAACAACTTGTGTGTTGCATCAATAATATTCTGCCTACACTTCACTTAAAATTCATGTGTAATATACATATGTACGTCATGTATATCAACCCATAATACACTGTTCTGTTCATTTCAAATACATTTCACCATGTTCACATTTCTTCGGAATATCATTTCACATGCTATAGATTACATGTATCTTATTACATCCAAAGATAAACAGATATTTCAAACTGAGCATTCACAACATAATCCGTTGTTTTTTTAACAGACACAAAACACTTATTTGAATCGAATAATGCAATGAGATCCACAAACACACATTTTCCTTCCTCTTCATATTCGTTCACATGAAGCTGAAAACTCTTGTCAGACTGTATTCCTGGCATTAATCAGGATACGTCAATCAGTACCAACCTGCAAAACAAACATTCTATATAATTTCAATACATTGTACACATGAATAATATTTCAAGAAATTAGAATGTTGGTTTTTTTTTCAGATGGGGAGATATCACTGAACATAGATCATCTGATGGGACAAGATATTTACAGTTGAATGAACGACAAACTAAAACACGTACAGGGGATAATATTGCAGATGTTCGCGAAGTAGCACCAAAAATGTATGAATATCCAGGGGACCGAAATCCTTTAGCTTTTTATGATCTATATGCCTCAAAGCGACCTACGGACTTTAGCACACCAGATAGTCCCTTTTATATTGCCCCCAGGACAATTCCAATAGATGATAAAAGATCGGACAAGTGGTACATCAGACAGAAAAATGGGGAAAGAAAACTTTCAAATATAATGAAAATTATGAAAGAGAAGGGTGATTTGGACAAAGACAAAAGATTAACAAATCACAGTGCAAGAAAATATTTGGTGCAGAAGCTGCGCAAAAATGACATACAAAATACAGATATCATGCAGATTTCTGGCCATAAAAGTGTGACATCAGTAAATAATTACAGTTCTATGGACGAAGATAAACACAGAAAAATTTCAAATATTTTGAGTAACCCATCTGAAAATGTAAATGTAGCTGACCGAGCACCTGTTCATTCTACTTCTACTGTCTCTACCTTACCTGATTTACATGTTCCGTCTGTAAATGTTCCACTCTCAGATCCACAACCCACGTTCAGTTCACAGACAAACATGAATAGACGGGTAAACTCCGTCTTTTATGGCGCAAATCTCCAAGTTCAAAACTTAAATGTGTACATGTGTGACACACAAAAAATCAACCATGCATCAACGATCGATGATCAGTGAATGTCACGGTGTGTGACGCGTAGGACAAACCATACGTTTTTGTCTCAAATTGGACACTGTTTTGTTATTCTATTTTACTGTTGAAATTAGTTGTTATGTTATAATAAATAATCATTAACTTTGAGCGATGTATTATTGTTGACAATGCGAGATTCTTTCAGCGTACCATTGTGTGATTCATTTAATATTATTACGCTGGGGGGCCTCGAACAGGTAAAATAAACAAAAATAATGCATTTTAAATCGAAAATAAATGCTATAAATGTGAGTTTTTCTGACTTTGAAAGCAAAAAAAGTATAAAATTAATTGCAGGATAAAGACAATAACTGTTCAGTGTCTTTAAATATCAGCTGTATTTGTACTCGGCTCGAAACAGGTGTAATAGCTCGCTAAAAGCTCGCATACACCTGTTTCCTAGCCTCGTACAAATACAGCTGATATTTAAAGACACTAAACAGTTATTGTCTATATATATATAGAGGGGTCTAAATACAGCACAAACAACATTTTCCAAAAGACCAAAAAAGTAAAAAAGTATATTTTAACAAAACGCATTTGACTAACAGGTCGAACAACAAATGTTCTTAAACCCTGCTGACTACCATTGGCGATTGCCAAATAAACGGATCACCGATGTAATAAATGGATCTTAATTTTATATTTAATACTAAACAGAAAACAATAAACTTGCGGAGAAGATGATATACCGCAAACAAAAGGTGCAAAGGATTTTGTACACCATATCCGGATTTCGACAAATAATGTCTCTTCAGTGATGTTAGGAATCGAAAAGGTATTTGGAAAGCCATACAATTTACCTCAATTTAGGATAGACTCCTGAATTTTGAGGAGTCAAAATAGGATGAACGGATTATATAAACCCTAAGGCAAATATAATACAAGCCCAAACGAAAAAATATAAACAAGTCTAAATTGAAAACAACGTTCAAACCTATATATATATATATATATTGTGATGCGGTTTATTCCAGCAGTGGTGTCAATTAGATGGTTATTTTAACAAATTTCAAAAAGGGAAAGCCAATTAAAAAATGACCAAATCAAAGCCTATCAAACAACGGTACAATTCGCAATTTTAAGCTTGACAATTTTGTCAGCATGTCAAAACATTAGGTTTTTCTACGCTCCATACTATTATTTGAAATGCTCAACTAAAAGATTAATGATATTGTATATATATTATATATTATCACACTGATTTTTTTTCTACAAAAACTGAAATCATAGGTAGACAGTTCTTTTTTTAGGTCATGAACAGCTATCGTACTTTATGAAGAACAAAACAATTAACCGAAGATGTTTTCATTAATACACTTAAAGTTTTGATCGATAGGATATTTGTTGAGTTTGGTTGATTAGTAGTTAACAGACATTTGGTATTCCAATGAGTATTAATTACGCACTGCCAAATTATTCGTGTACGCATATTAAGCAAAATTCCTTTAAAACTTTCAATAACCCACATTCAGCGAGTATTACCATATCATATATGCAAGCTTAAGTAAACTTGAGATCAATGATTACACCGAAATTAGAAAGTCTGCTACATAATTAATCTGGCCCTTGATATAGAAACAGATTTACAACATCACAATAGAATATTTGCCACACGTTAGGATTTCACTGTTCAATTGTCAACTTCCTATTTCTAAGAAGTAGCATACCGTCAAATGATACCTTTTTTCTTTCATGTTCACACTTAGCAGAGCTCATAAGAAGAGTTGAGAATCTTGCCCAAACACTGCTAAACTAAAGTTATTAGGAAGAACGAAGACTGAAATCGACCCTATAAACGTATTACAGTCACTATCACGACGTGGTCGCTATATACAATATTCTGTGTCAAATCTCAATAGCAAAATGTTTAAATACCAGAATAATCGTCAAAGCTGTAATTTTACCTATTGTGTCATATTCTTTATTTTAAAATTTTAACAAAGTGTGGATTTGCATGGCGAACGAAACATGTTTGCAGAACTTACAATATTAGGAGTAACTGTTTGACGTGAAGTTGTCTGGTCGGTGCCAGCTCGGTAACGTGAACTGAATTACCCCAGAATAGGCTCTCATGTTCATACGATGTGATAAACTTAGGTGATAGATATTGTCGAGTTCCCATTTCTTCTTGCACCATCATTAGCTATCAAATACTTAACATGATGTTTGTGAAAAATAGGAGTTCAATTATATTTCTCCATTGTAATAGAAATCAGAAACTATCACTTGATATTAGCACATTTTTACCTGAGGATGGATGTCTTTTAGTCATTTTTTTCTCTTCTTTTTTTTTATTTTGCATATGTTGTGTTTATAAATATTGTATCCCTAATAGGTATCACAAACGTTTGAATTTAAACATGTTTCGATTTAACGACCTTTTAGATATTAGTTTTGATGCATGCTAGTGAGTGTCAGAACATTAAGTAGATGGGGGTAAAAATGAAATACAATATACTATACTTTTTAAATGCTTTGCCAATATATAGTTTATACCATGCTATTTTCAACACTAAACAAATAGTATGGGTAACGCAGCTTTTCTTCAAAGTACGGGTTTTACAAAATTATCTAATTAAACACGACAAGATCAGTTCAGTTTGAATACAAAGATTACCAAATGATTTAATTTTGAAATAAGATAACGTTTGAAATGCACTTTCAGAAATGAAAAGAAAATTAGGATCACCGTTCTCGTTTCGTCCTAAAACAGATAAATTAAATATGTGTTCCTTCATAAAATAATATTTTCTCCATGAGTTATCTCAACTTTTATTGGTAAATACAAAAATTAAAAGACGTGATATGATAGCCTATGAGACAAATCTCAATCTACGACCAAATAGAATGGAGTTTTACAAATATAGGTCATCGTATGGCCTTCAACAATGAGCGAAACCCATACCCCATAGTAATCTATAAAAAAAAAACCCGAAATGACAAATGCTGTTTGACGATATACTAACAATAAAGTGATGCATTCCTTGTTTTGTTTTGTTCTGTATTGATAACACAATTCCACTCATTCTTCTTTATAAGTATAATATAAAAGCAAGAAGATGTGGTATAATTGCCAATGAGACAACTCTCTACCAAAGACCAAATGACATAGAAGTTAACAGCTTTAGGTCACCGTACGGTCTTAAAAAATTACCAAAAACCCATACCGCATAATCCGCTACAAAAGACCCCTAAATGACAAATGTAAAACAATTTGAACGAGAAAACTCACGGCTTGATTTATGTACAAAATAATGAACGAAAAACAAATATGATGTACAGCAACAAACGGCAACCACTGAATTGCAGGCTCTTGGCTTGGGACAGGCACATACAGAATGTGTAGGGTTTAAACTAGTTTGAAATCGCCAACCTTCCCCCTAAGCTGGGACAGTGGTGTAACAATACAATATAAGAACAAACTATACAAATCAGTTGGGCTTAACTCATTAGATCGATACAAAGCAGAAATACAACTAACAAAAACACAGAACGGACGTGGCAGGCTACTTATACATCCCCACAACAAAAGTGACACTAAGTACAGATCTGAGAGTACTCACGGACAATGACAGCTATTTCAAAGCCAATAACAAATAATAAAAACATATAATGGAATATATAGACAGCTCTCTCACGAGCAAAAATCCCTAACTATGAAATATACGACAATACACTACAGGCACGGGGACACATTCTACTGCATCCACACAGCACGAATAACAAACCCTGCAGTAAATATAAAAAAAAGAAGATGTGGTATAAATGCCAATGAGACAACTCTCCACCAGAGACCAAATGAGATAGAAGTTAACAGCTATATGTCACCGTACCCATACCGCATAGTCAGCTACTGTGAATTCAGAAATTATTGCGAAAAATGCGACATGGTTATAATCGCATTAATTTAAACTCGCATTTTGAAATTTTTTATATAAATTAAACAGGATTTTTTTCAATATCGCAAAAATTTAAATCGCATTTTAGTCTAAAATGACAAAACCGCAATAATAAATGCACGCAATAATTTCTGAATTTACAGTATTAACATGATTAAAGGCCCCGAAGTCATAAATGTAAAAAAATTCAAACGAGAAATAATACTGCTTTATTCACGTCCTAAATATACCTACATGTATATTGTAGCATTACCAGAAGCTACATGTATAAATCGATTACCAGAAGCAGATCGACTTAGATATATCAAGCTTATGCAGAGTTCAAAAACTGAAAGACGGTACTTTGTTAAAATAATGATCGTGGGGAAGGAGTCGGTAGGGAAGACATGCTTATTGCGACGATTACTAAGAGAAAAAATTGGAGATGTATCAAGTACAGATGGTATTGACATTGTTGTTCGTCGATGCATAATTAACAGAGAAAATGGGAAATGGAAAATAGAAAAAGGTATATAAATGAGTTATTGATTCTAAATGATATATTGTGCTACCAACACCTTTTAATTTTACGAACTCTATTGTAACGAACCTTAATTATAAATGGAAATGAATAAGTTACATATATCATTGGTTTATTACTTATCTTACACACATGTTCGTGCATTTCTCATTGTTATCCAACGCAAAATAATTATCTAAGATACCTGGGACGATCTCATTCCATAAAGAATCTCTTTTGTTGCTTATTGTACCTCGAACTTATTAACCCGGTGTAGGTCTTAAAGTTGAGGTTCTATTAACTAAAAGTTAATCGGGCATGACTAATTAGACACGCCCTCTTAGAATCAGAGGGTCCAAAATAGGATCGTGAAAAAACAGCCATCAAAATACCATAACTAACAATTTCAGAGAATCAAAGTGCTTTGGGTTGAATATCTCCGGTCAATACAGTGGAAATACAAACCTGTCCGAAACCGGAAATTGTTGGATGAAATAGGAATTTATTTACAAAATAAGTCCATATCTCATTTACTTATAGTGGCTGTTATTGATTGTAAATTCATGTCGTTTTGTTTTTGGCATTCGTCTACCATGGAGAAAAAAGAGGGGGCGCTAATAGGTTAACTTACGATTTTGATCATGGTTCAACTTTATTTCAGTACGGCTAACGTTAAACCTCTAGTCAACGCTCTGTCTTATTAAAGTGTCACGTTAATTGTTATCATTTGATTCAGGTGGATACATTTTTCATCTCGTCGTGAATATGCATGACATATTTGCCACTGGACGTTAAGGGAATGATCAATTAATCAGCTTCATTTAGTATAATCATTAGTCTTCAGTTGATAATTGTCTCAAACAGTTTTCCAATTCTTTTTTATATATTTGATTTTTAAGCGTAAGTTTTAGCATTTCTTTCATCATTTTTCTCTTTCCATTATTTTTTTTAAAACATGAAATAACGTAGTCCACATCAGGGTTTACATTGTATCCTATCCAGCCAAACAAGGAGGAAGGGAGTAGAACAGAAAAAAATCTTCATTGAGTGGCAATAAATCATATATTGAAACGTACAACGATGGCAGTCTCGTCAAAATTTAGTGTTCCAAGTTTTTTTTTTAAAATCTGGTATAGTTGTCATTAAAGCAAAAATGGATAAAAAATGTTTTAAGGGGTAACAATTTATATAATGATTCAACTTATTTTGGCTATTTCATTTATGTTTTAGATATAGTCTTACTGATCGGTTGTGTTATTAAAATTTTTTCTTCATCTACAATTATTGTCTTAGCAAAAGGCTCAAAACTTGTGTTAAAATCAGCCATGCGACTCATTTGAAATTTAGCTGACGTTTGTTGTTGTTTAAAGATTTCAATCATTTAACTTGTGCGTAGATCGTATTTCCCCCTCAAAGAGTTATTCAAATTATTCTCAGTTTAACGTTTAGATAGCGTGAAACTCACTACACAAGCCATCGAATATACGACATCTCTATTTTGACCGGACGTAGCTGCGTATTTATACACCCGAACAGCCAAACGGACGTACCCCTTTAGCAAGGGTATACTGTCGGACGGGAGAAGTCCAGAGATGACAATGTTTCTATACCCAAGTCAATCCTTTGGTTTTGAATAAAAAGAGATAAAGGTATACATTAATGCGACAGCAACCCAACGACACAGACAAATAAAAACATCAAGAGTCAACATACAGTCTTTTGTAATAGAAAGATACCTATACAGAATAATAAGCTCAACACCGCCCTGTAACTAAAAAATACGGAGTTTATTTAATAATATATACCGCCGAAGATAACCCAACAGGCACATTTATTTTAATAGTATTTACCGTCAAAGATATCTTAACAGACACATTGTGTGGGTTAAATATATCACCTGCCCTTTTTTAATTTTGATCAGTGGAAATTAAGGTGTAATATAAACCAGTCGAAGAAAAACACTTCACTATATAGTAACGGAAAAATAAATGATAATATTGGATGGCTGCTTAACGTCTAGCGGCAATTTAAATGCATATTCAGGACAACATGTAAATATAATATGAATATTAACCTGCTTCGAACTAGACCGAAACGCTGAGCGGGAGTTTGACCTGTTGGGGGTTCGAACCAACGACCTCCCGCTCTCGAGGCGAACGCTCTCCCACGAGACCAGCCAGGAGGTTGGTAGCATAGAATATCATACAAAAAACTCAAGTACAATAAACAATACAGTTTAACAGAATTCTAACAGTTACTAAAGCGAGATAAAAATATCTTATCTAAATTACAATGTAGATACGTTAAATGATAATGGAAACTACACGTAAATATCGATGGTCGACTTCAGAGTAGATTTCATGGATCAACGTTCTCTGCAAATTTAAAAACTCTTGCACCAATTATTTGAGGGGTCCGGATGTGGTCAGCTGTTGCAAGGCTAAATTTCTGTCCTTATCCAATATATCCTCAATTTTGAGTGGTATTCCAAGTTTCACGTCCAACCTCACTGTCGACCTCTAATTGTAAGATCTACCTATTGTATTTAAAATGTATGTGTTCTCGTCATGAACATGCATGCATTGCCACTGGACGTAAAGCAAACAACAATCAATCAAATTCATAAATTATTCCGTGTACATAGTACACTCAATAATAGTGCAATTTTTTTTAATTTTTTTTAATTTTTGTAATTTACTACATGACTGAACACAAATAATTGTTTTTTTAGATATGTTTTTACTATGGTTCTTATCTACCGTTTTATTACGATTCATAATATATCATTATGTCAGGCCGCGATTATAAAACTAAGAAAGGTGAAAGGGTTTTTTTCAAGGGGTTTATGTTTCATTTAGACGTGTAAAGGAAATAACGGACGACTAGAATAAAAGTGTTTGTTTTCATGTGATACATTGTATTTCGATTTAAGAATGATGATCAACCTTGCGAACATATCTCATCTATACACGTTTTGATCGAGCCACTCAAACCTGCATAACTTGATTATAAAGATGTTACATTTATTTAGGCTATTTAAATACGATTTTATTCTTATTTAAAAAACAAAAACAAAAAAAAACAAGGTTTATTAATTAATTTGACTGAACAGACAACATTAAACATTTTGCATTTGCATGTTACGTAGTGTAGGAAAATTACAGAATTAAAACCCAAATAGACATTTACCTGAATATTGTGAAGGACCTTATGCATCTAGGTCTGTTCGATTAGAAGTTGTGAAACAAACTGTTTGAATAACTAATTGTTGGAAGAGATTACTTACTATTTTCATCTGGTCTGGTCTTTACGAATCTATTTCATGATTACTGACAGATTAAAAACATCAAATATATATAATAAGACGTTTTGGTGCAGAACATTCATTGGTCAGTTGTAAATGAGGTCTGTATAGAGTTTTGAGTCTCCATTTATAAAATTAAAAAAATAAAAATATAAATTTACCCTTTAATTTTAAAAAAACTATCCTATGGTGTTATTTTAATGCTAAAAAAAATATAATAAATAAATAATTAAATGATGTACTGCCATTTAATCGGTCCGTTTCCATTGCAATTAGGTTACTGTTATTTGTACATATCAGTCTGAGTACTATTATATTATTTATTGATGCATTTTTCTGTGCTGAGTGTTCTTTCGTTTGTTTGAACTGTATTCCTGTCACGTAGTGTTGTCATTTTAGCGATATTTTTTAACATTGCCATATAAGCAGGAGGTTTGGCTAGCCATAAAACCAGGTTCAACCCACCATTTCTTTTTAAATGTCCTGTACCAAGTCAGGAATATGGCAGTTGTTATCAAATAGTCCGTTTCTTTGTGTACCAATATTGCTTTCATTTGAAACATGCAATCCATCCTACATGTCCTAAGTAACGAATTGTTACCAAATTAGACTTATCACTGAGTCAGTACTTAAAGAAGCAACATGACAGGTGTCAAATGTGGAGTACGATCTGATTATCCTTCCAGAGCACCTTAAATCATTCCAAGTTTCTGGTGGGAGTCGTGTTGCTCAGTCGTTAGTTTTCTTCGTTGTGTGTTGTATACTGTTGCTTGTCTGTTGGTCATTTTTCGTTTTTGTGCCTTGCTGCTGTCAGGTCAAATTTGTCATCGACTTATGAGTATGAATATCTCATTTGAATCTTCCACCTCTCTTTAACATGTATTATTATAGAGAATTTATTTGTACTTGATAGCTATAGATACCCATTGATTTTTTTTCAAGGTCACGATCGCTAAACTTCGGTTTCATAACAAAGAAAGTTAATTAACATCCCCATTTTTCGCTCAGCAATCACCGAATGCAATATTCGTTGTCGCTAATATGTTATGAATTCGTAACAAATGTACAAAACGTTCACATAGAACTAAGTTTAGTTTAAAGCATGCATTTGTTCAATACATTATTTCCTTCAAATTATAACTACCAGAAAATCGTTTCATATGACTTTTACAGTACTGATTTTCTGTGCCTCATGCAAAGGTTAAAATGCCACTATTTTTATGTTTTGGTAGATATACCTGATGATACAGGGGACCGCATTCAGAGAGCAATAACTCAAAATCAAAGCACTCAAGATCAGCCAAATGAAAACATAAAAAGTGAGGTTCCCAAAAAGGACATGTCAGAAGTTGCAGAAACATTCAAAAAACCATTAGTTATAGAAGCTGAACCCGAAAAGCATGATGACATTAGTAACAATAGTACGCTCACAACTTCTCAACTAGAATGCAGTAAACCAACAGTCGACAACATGAATGTAGAAACGACAGATATTACAAATATTAGTCTTGAGAATGTAACTTTGAAAACAAATGACACCAACGATACTATTGAAACGGTAGAGAATAACAGTGAAAGTAATCTAAGAGACACTATAGATGTTACGAGTACGGAAACAGTAAGAACTTCAAATGAAAATGAGCTTCATCAAAAAGACATTTCAGAATACCTGGGAACGTCAAATCTGATATCTGATGTGTTTGCCACGATTTCAACTTCAAATAGTCTTTCATATAATTACGCTCTATGTGGATTATGGGATTTTGCAGGACAAAAGGAATTCTATTGTACACATCAGGCATTTTTGACAAGTAGTGCAATTTACCTGGTTGTTGCCGATATGAAAACCGACATCTTGACAGAAAAACAAAACAAGGGAAAAACGGGAGACGATGTACCTTCCTTTTCAGATTTACATGAAGAAGGTATTTATATAACAGGGGCGGATCCAGGATTTTGGAAAGAGGGGGCGTAGTATGTAAAGTTCGCCGAGCGGAGCGAGGCGAATTTTTTTTTTTACCTTTTTGGGGCTAAAAACATAAAATAAGTGTAAAATGCACATTTTTAACGATTCCTGACGTGGGGCATGTATATTTTATAGTTAAAGTGTAAGCTAGGGTTGGACATTTTTGATTCCGCATTCTCCCCATTATTATGAAATGATTGAATGGATCCAAAGCTATGTACTAATATATTTGATGTGGGATTTGTCAGTAAAAAATGGACATGGAAAATTCTCGTTTGTTGTATGGTTAATAAGCATAACCTCACAGATTTCTTGTTGTAAACATGATATACGGTTCTTTTAATGAAGTTTATAATACGACCGACACGAACAAAAACAAACAAGCAATTTTTATCCAAATGTTTGGTTGAAATGTTTCACCCAACAAGGGAAGTGAGGGGTTCCAAATCAACCAAAGGCTACGAATGAGTCTGAAAATCAAATGACAACGAAGTTGTGAATGACGGTCGACATATGGAGACATAAAGGCCACACCCAGCAGGCAGGTTGCAGTTGGGCCTTGAAAAAAGTATTCAGTATATCAGTTCGGCGAAACAGACATTCCGGTCAGATATGGGATTTACATGCAAACCCCCCAAAAAAACTACGCCCGTTTTTTATTCACCATGTTCATTTAATGCTGAATAATTTTGTTGAATTTTTTTTTTTTCTTATTTCAAAAAAGGGGACACGATAATTGTTTTCAATACAGATACGGCCAGAACTTTTGTTAAGGCAAAAACCAGGGTCAAAATTTTTTCTCTTAAATATCTCAGACTGCCCTATCAAATCAAATGGTCCGTACCTTAGACTTTAAATCTATCTAGTAAGAGCTTACTGACTGGGGATCATTATTCAGCAATGTTATTATTTGGCTGGGGCGTGTGGGGTTACACATATTTTCGTAGGTGAATAATATTGCTTTGGAACTTTTTTTTTTCATGAGAGTGTAATAGAGTATTACTTTCTGTTGAGTGGAATTGTGAAATAGAAGTCAATACGTTCTTGCTCAATCTTTTGTCGCTTTGAAGGCGTCATGCTTGTCATCTTCCGCCTAAGCAATGTGTTACTGTAATTTGAATTTCAAAGTGCATGACTGAGTGTCGTTTTTTCGACGTACTGATCAACTCCACCGTAGCGAATCATATGACTTCAACATAATCAATAATATATTACAGTAAATACGAGCGAAAAATATCTTTATAAGTAAAGAATTGTCGCATAAAAATTAAATACACTGCCGGGAAATGGCAAAGTTCACTAAGTCTAGTCTCATTAATAATTTTACAAAAAAAAAAAAAGTTCAAGCAAAGGGGCTTACGCCCTCTACGCCCCCTCTGGATCCGCCACTGTATAACATGAACAATGCTTCTCCAAATTGATTCCCGGATTTAAATTTGCATTAAAAACTTTCGAATTTGTTATAAAATCGCTAATTTTGAAAATATCTTTTTGTACTACGATTTCAGTGAATATATATATATATATATATATATATAATTATCCGTAGATACCCATGAAATGCATGCCACAGTGCATAACTAAGTCATAGTCAGCTAATGCTATAGAAACTTGGTATTTACTTTGAAGATGTACTTATTTTTCCTAGTGTCAACTTTATGAAAACTGAAACAGCTGCGTTTGTATCGGAATTAATTATACTTGTCTGGGCGTCACACGCATATATGCAAGCATGGCCATTCCAGAAGTTGTCAGTTTTCTAGTTTTAACCAGATTTTCAAACCAAAGGCAGTAACCTTCACTTCCCACTATTTGTACAAACTCAGAATTAGTTTGCAATAAAAAATAATAATCAATCATCTTTACATTTCAATATATTGATTTTAATTACAAAAAGTCTGAACATGCATGTCGTCAATTCTCACCTTTCTTGTTCATGATAATTGTTTGGTCGTGAAATGAGACTTTGAGCTGTGTATATTTCTATGGCCCCACAACAAAGTTGTCGGGGCCATATAGTTTCACCCTTATCCGTCATTCCGTCATTCTATCGTTCCGTCATTCCGTCATTCCGCAACAAACAGTTATACGGACTTTTTTTTCTAAAATCCTTCACATATTGAGCTGATTTTTAGAGTGTGAGTCAACTATGATGAGTTACAGATCGAGTTTACTTTTGGTTCCGCTCCACTGATTTTTGTAAAGTTTTTAAGCTTTGTATTATTTAGACTAGGTACACTAATGTATTGATAGGAATACATCATTTAATTATGATTTATAAGCGTCTGTACTAACGTTATTTTTACAAATGTGAGAGTATTTGGTTTGCTCAAGTTTTTTGTTTATTTTCATAATTTTAATCATCTTTGACTCATAAGATTAAGTGTCAATTTCATAAGATCCACATAGAATTAGAAATGTATCCTAAGAAGTGTTAATCTTCTTGAACTTCACCCCAATCCAAAGGATACACACATAGTATACTGGCCTAAATCTTTTACCCCATCCAAAATAAACGTTTTCTTGTCTACATTTATATTAAGGTCTGATACACTTGCTATTGTTTGCTAGAGAAAGGAGATATGTACCCAACGACTCTGATAATCAATCAAGTATGAAAGAAGTATCGTCTGCGTATTGTAAAATGAGATACTCTGAGTCATCTTTAGTGAACTCTCTAATTTGGTGATCCTTTCGTATGAGTATACTAAGTATTTTTGCACATTATAAAAATACAAATGGAGCCCAGCCTCTTTGATTTTGAAAAAAATGTAGATTGAATTTTAGTATAAAAAGAATTGCTCCTATGTTGAATTAATGGTCAGGAATTGGAAAAAGTTAAATACGCTTTTAATGTATCTCCAAAAAAATTAGGCAAATGCCTTTTCATAATAAATAAGGAGGAGAGTTCCAGTCATATAATGTTCTTCCGTATAAACTAAAACATCATAAACTAATCTAGTGTTTTCAAACATTTTGGATGTGTTGTCTTGGTATATTACCTTTTGGTTTACAACTGATTATTCCCCTTTTAGATAGTGATATTTTACACAATACTATAGCCATAAATGTACAACACATTTACCGCTAGCTAAATATATCCAAGAAAATTCTTTAAAAGAAAACAACCAATAGTGTATCCATCTGATCCCAGACTATTTTCTTATTGAGATCTACATTTGAAAATGCCTGTACCAAGGCAGGAATATGACAGTTGTTTTCCATTCGTTTGATGTGTTGGAGCTTTTGATTTTGCTATTTGTTAAGGGACTTTCAGTTTTGAATTTTCCTTGGAGTTCGGTATTTTTCTTATTTTCCATTCTTTCTATATTGTTTCTTTTTTTAGATATAAATGTTTATATATATACTATTTTTTGCTTCCATTAAAATTTGTTCTTTAGTGTTTATGCAAAGACTTTTATTAGTAACTAGTCTTGGAATTGTTTACTTTACAATTTCGTAGTTTCGAAAATAAGGAAATATTGTTAGGATCTTTTTCCATGTAAAACCCAATGCATAATTTAACGTACATAATGCTCTCGCATTTTTCTTGTCATAAAAATTGTTACTAATATTTTTTTTGGTTGACATTTTCAAGAGTCCCTGTGGTTTATATGTTTTCTTCCATTTTTTTAATATCATTCATCAAAGCATTTTCCAATTAACTTTTCTTCTTTTTTATATGATGCAACGGACATTGTTTTCTGTTTTAATTCACTTTGTTTAGCAAACATTTAATATTTATTTGCTAAAGTGCTTAGTAGATACGGAGAAACACAAATACAATGCTGTGGTACTGAATGGCGAAGTGACCTGCTCAAACTTTTATTTTTTATTTTCAAATACTAAATATCTCCTCTGCCTCAAAGTCCAAACTGAAATATAAAGTCCCCATTAACACAAAAGAAACTGTTTGGCAGAATCCTGCACGTGTTTGGTAACAAAATTATCCTCAAAATAAAAACGACAAGTTCAAGATACTTAAACAATATGAAAACAAAAATACAAAACTGTTTTTATAAAAGAAAATTTAAACTTCGAACTATAAAACGTGTGCTGGTTTAGTCACTACCCAATCCTCGATAATTAAACTCGTGCTGTTACCTTATATACTGACCGTCAAACCGAACAACAATAGACTATTTTCATATTATCGACTTTTGACTCCGGATTATATAATTTGTCGACAGGTTTTCTAATCTGTGGTCGGACATCCTGGTACTCGGTCAGGTAAGAGCAACCAAAAGAAGTAAAACCAAACACATAATAGGTGCAATTTGAGTTGAAAGTTTCCGATTACTTTGTCGTGTATAGGTTACATAAAACATTTAATTCCCCCCCCCCCCCCCCCCCCACGATTTTACCGATTTAAATCTTGATTTTACTTTTTAACGTTGCTCGTACTTGACCAAGTACCAGGATGTCCCACCAAAGAGTAGGTCAACTGTCGAAATAACTCCAGAGTCAAAAGTCGGTAATATGAAAATAGTCTATTGTTACACAGCCTATTGCAACTCTCCGTTATAAAATCAATGCGAAATCTTACAAACTCATTCCGCATAACCCACATCAATACATTTATGTTTAATTCAGTCTGTTTAAACAAACATGAAATATGTTTGTGATAAAATTCTACAGTTACTTTGAAACCAATAAAACACAAACACAACGTTTGGATACTGAATGGAGCAGTGAGCAGCTCGACGCACAAAAACAACCGGCTAAATGAAAGCTAAATTCCAAAATTGTAAGAATCTGATTAACGATTATGTAATCTTCTACCACATATTCATCGTTAGGTTTATTTGATTTCTAGTGACCGTGCAGTAAAATTACCTATCAGATATATCATTCTGAGCGGCAGCTGTAGCCGTGCCAGCTCGAAACTATGTAAACCGGAAACAGTTACAGTACAGTCAAATTTAGAAAATGTCATGTATTTTTTTCCTTTCTTAATGA